GGTGGTTCCTGGCAGTATTCGACTACGACCCCAAGACCATGTCGCCCAATCCTGATGGCTGCGCCGAAGAACTTACGTTCACCGAAGGCGACATTATCAAGGTTCGGCTTCTCTTGATACAATCGTCTCCGTTCAATGCGCGAAATCTTGGCGACTGTTCTGGTTGATCCGAAAATTGAATTAGTTCAAACAAATTATCCTGGAATGCACATCAAGTGAATTCCTTGATCCTAGATTAAATTAAATGAAACGGAATTGGACTCGCAAAATGTCAGATAAATCAGCTTGGATGCTGAAATTCAAAGTCAACGTCCGATCTCTCCTTATATAAATTCCGCAAACGTTACACCCTTTACCATCTATTTTTGTCGCAGGTTTTCGGGGAAAAAGATCCCGACGGGTTCTACTGGGGCGAGTATCGCGGTAGACGCGGGTACGTTCCTTACAACATGGTGGAGGAAATCAAAGATCAAAATCAGATCGGCAGGAGAATGCTGCAGAACGACAGATGTGGCGAAATTTACGCAAACGTGCCCATGAAGAAGATGATAGCGCTCTACGATTACGATCCTCATGAATTATCTCCCAATGTCGACGCCGTGAGAATCTTTTCATTTTCTCGATTTAGAAAATCATTTGATGAGACACGAATCGCAGAGTCGGAGTCCTTGATGAACTTAAAACCTAAAACTACCCATTCAATAAATCATATATACCATCTGCAACACCATCGACAGTGAGTTGCGCGATTTCCAGCAGGTCGAGCTAACGTTCCAAACCGGGAACGAGATCAACGTCTATGGCGATATGGACGACGACGGCTTTTACATAGGCGAGCTGAACGGCATGCGGGGCTTGGTGCCGAGTAACTTCCTCACCGAGGCACCAGGTCAGAATCAGGTCCAACTACCGCAAAGCAGCAGGAGACCCGGTCAGAGTCAAGGACCAGGCGCGAGAGGTCCGCCGCTGCCTCCACGGGAAGTGCCAGTTGGCCGACGAGGAAAAGGTAAATAGCCGTCGTATATCGAATATCTTCCTTGCAGTCACCGGTTATTACGGCATGGATAGCTCCTCGAGCCAAGACGACGACAACTCGGGAGCTAATGACGTGTCGTGTACGGTCGTATGTCGACACGCTCGACGTTCCCAATTTACAGGGGATCGATCGGCTCGGTCGATGCAATAATGGTGGCGCCCGCAACGTAAGGAGAAGACGAAAGACAATATGTTTAGAAAAAGCTCCACTGCTATATATATATATATATTATCAAATGAGAAGTGCAAAGAGCCCTTAAGAGCCTGTGCACGGGCCTCGTAGTGTGGCAGAATCAAACGAGACACGTTGGTAATTTGAATGTCCCAATTAGTGGCCGAGTAACCTCACCGTGCAAGTTAATTAATAAACGGATGATGTACATCTCTCTCTCTCTCTCTCTCTCTCTCTCTCTCTCTCTCTCTCTCTCTCTCTCCTCTCTCTCCTCTCTCTCTCTCTCTCTCTCTCTCTCTCTCTCTCTCTCTCTCTCTCTCTCTCTCTCTCTAGGTACTCAAAAATGATTTTGTTAAAAAACTTAAACTTTTAATTGTGTTACATTTTTGTAATTTATGAAAAAATTTTAGTTTGTATTATTTTTTTCTCGGAAATGACTTGAACACTATTTAGTGATATGAATCGGTTTAATTTTGTTTTTCGTTGACAGTTTAATCTTGAAGAAATTAAAAAATAGATACGCAGATCTAACAAATATAGACATCTGATATTAACTATCATTTTCTATCAGATTACAAGCATGATATAGTTTTTAATTTTATTGAAAACTTATCACTGACAAGTTGACTTAAAAATGTGAAAGAACAGAGCTACAATGTTACAAGTTGAGACGCTATCAATAATTGGGACGCTTACCTCACCTGATTTCTTATAAAGCCGAGAAATTCAAAAGGAGTCCTCTCTCAGTGAGGAACACCAAGGAAGAACAAAATAAATTTTCCGACTCCATAAGAAATCGGATATCAACGTGTTCCATTTAATGTGAATGACACTGCAAGACCCATGCAAGACTGGCTCGTGCGGGCCTTCGGCGCTTCTCGTTTGTGAGTAAAGCGTAGAGAAAAGCACCAAGTGATTAGAAAGCGCTAGAAGCGATTGGTGTCGCCAGAGTAAGCTAGAGATCGCGTCGCGTAGGACTCGCCGCTCCGAGAGAAGCCGCCCGGCGCGGCGACAGGACAGCGAAAGAGCTGGCGTAAGAGCTGGCTCGCGACGGGTTGTTGACAATTGTTGACGTTCACAGCGACGCGACATTCTCCCCCCCCCCCCCCACGTGCTCAGGACCACTCGATCGGACTCTGGTCGTGCACTCGTTGGTATATGATCGCGATTCTCGGCAGCTCGAAAGCGCGCCGTCAGCAACGCGTCGCGTCGATGTAAACGGAAATGCGAGCAAACGGCAAGCAACACAAGACACGAAACCAGATGACAGGCCAGACGACAGGCAGAAAGGCTTACACTCTTATGACTAGCGTTGCGCAATCCGGCGTACCCGATCAATCGGGGAGACCGGCAATTCAAGCCGAGTAAGCATGCGACGTATCCATGATCGGAGCAAGTCAAGTTCGAGTAACACAAGTGCAAATTGCAACGCGATTCAGGTGAGGTGATGCGCCTCACACGTGCGTCTCGTGTCGACGGGGAACCCCATTGTGTCGCTTCGATATCGAGACGGAACGACCGTCTCCTACCGTCGACGACGACGCCATGTCAGTCTACGTCCGAGATGTGCCACGCTTTTGCAGGCATTCACAACAGGCTATTCGAAATTACCCCGCATACGTCACAAATATATATATATATATATATATATGTATATATATGTATGTGATGTGTGTACAAATCGATAGAGATTTTCCCTTCAATCTGTCACATGTATATAAGAGAATCGGTGAACGTTTCTGAGGAAAACACGTGCTGTCATACACACGACGATATATATAGATTGTATATGTGTACACGATATGTATATATGTATAGCTTACATATATATTATACGCATATACACATCTATATGCAATGGAACACTAAGCTGCTTTCAGTGTCTTCTATTAAGTATATCTAATATATATACATATATATATACATATACATATATATATATATATACATATATACATATACATATATATGCGTATATATTTTTTTCTCTCCAGGCACTCTTCTGCCTCTGTTACTATTACTCTACGTATCTGTCCTATTCTCTCTGTTTACATACACATACCATACGTATATATATATATGTATATATATATATATATTATACGTACATGTACGTCTGTAATAATAATAATAATATAAATATATATATATATATATATCTGTCGACTGACTATATACATACGATCATGTTATGTTGTGATACAACAGTTTACTTTATACCGACATAATCTGTCTCTGTGTGCCTGAACTGATCGATGGTCGTCGTGTCACATGATTGTCGTTCGTGTCGTGTTGTCATGCTGGCCATTTACGATTACATTGATTGACGATTTCCGTTTCTTCTGACGATTGATTCTGACGAAAGAAGACCGAGATCGACGCTTTCCTCCGTAAGCGCCTGAAACGAACGGCGGCCCGTCGCGTCGTTCGTCCCGGGCGAGTCTTGCGCGACGTTCATCAGAAAATCTCGTCGAGTAATTGCAAAACAGCTCGCGCGCGGTTCGAGATAATGCACCACCGTTCCTTGTGACATCCGCCGGCGGTTGACATGTCCGCGCGCCGGCTGCGCCGCGGAAAAGCGTCGCGTCTCTCTCCTCATTTGAGATATCTCGCGAGTCTCTACATACTCGGCATGCTCAAGATCGACTCGAGAGAAAAGAAACGAAACGAAACGAAAGAGCTAAAAGAAAAGAAAAGAAATAGAAAAACGAGAGATAAATGCGCCATAAATGACAACACGGTTCTGTTCTCTTCTCTGTTGCTAGATGCCTGCATTGTGCCTGTGTCTGTCCCTGTCTGTCACTTAGACTCTAGACAACTACAACAACAACCACCACCATCACTAATGAACAACCAACAACTACAACATCAACAAAACAATCCACCGCATCTAGCGTACCAACAAGCGAATCACCACAGCTACACGACCGTAACCACGTCCAATCAGCATGGGCCCAGTCACTTGCCATCCGGCGGTGGTGTCATGGGTGTCCATCAGCAAGGTCCCGTACCGCCCCATCTTCAGCAACAGGTGAGCCCGCTTCTCTTCCGAAATTTCTTCGTACGCTTTCTACCTCTCTCTCTCTCTCTCTCTCTCTCTCTCTCTCTCTCTCTCTCTCTCTCTCTCTCTCTCTGTCTCTCTCTCTTTCGTGCTTACCAAAGCGAGCTTTCGTCCGTACCTTATCTGTGCTTGTCTGGGTCTTATAATGAGGTTCTTCAGGATCGACGATCGTCTGCGGTCGTCGATCGTGTAAGAGATAAAAAAATTGCCGTTTTTTGATTTTTCTTTTTCTTTAGCAACGGTATTGGAGACAATGACGTTTTACTGTCAAAAATGTAAAATTGCCAAAAGAGAAGAAGAGAAGACACGAAAATTCGATATTTCTTTTTGTACTTATTTTATTAGTCTCTGAAAACAGGAATGCTGACGAATCTCACGAAGTGAAAGTATGGATGAGGACGATCAGACAGATCGAGTTAAATGGAAAATCAAAGTTCGTAGGAAGTTGTACATGAATCTCGTATTTCTCTGTGCGTGTATGTGTCGTGTATGTCGCTTTCTGTGCTTTGCTGCCAGTTCTAATTCGTAATTATAACTCGTACCTCTCTCGCTGCGACTATTGAATGACTTTCTCGATTCTCTTGCATGAGTGCGAAGTACAGTATGCTTAGGAGAGTTAAGAAGAATAGCGATCTTGTGTAACTTTTGTGCCCCCTGAATACTCGATACTTGTCTCTTGAAGCTGACGAATCGATCTCTCGAACGGAGAGCCTCCCTCTGCTAGAAACGTTC